CCTCCCCTCCCCCCATCGTCTGGCCTCCTGGCTCTTTCTACTGCTACTTTTTCGTACTGCTTTCAGCCACACCCCAGATCTTAGGGTAGGTAAGATCGAACACATAGCCTTCTCCATAAGGGCTGAAAAAATTTGACGGTCCAGTATGCAAGTTGCGCACGTTTAAGACTTCTTACTGGTTATGAAATGGATAAGAGTAGGTTTCGGCGCCACCCGGGCAAAATTCAAACTTCCAGGTAAAACTGAAACTGAAAATATTCTAGAAAAAAAGGAAACTCACGTAGAGTACCTTTGAAATAGGAATTTGGCTTCCTAACCTGAAGCAAGGGCCCTACTAAGTGGGAAAAACGGTCTCATACGTGAAAAAAAAATAGTCATACGCACCCTTACACCTTCCTTGATTCCAAACGTATTGATGGTGTGTCTTTTTTGGGGGCATATCAAGGAAGTCAATATTAGAAGGGAAGGAAGTATTACTTGGGCCATCTACTCCCACGATGGCTACTGCCCAGGCAAAACTATACCATGCATTCTGCTTTAAGATGAACTGCCAAGACTCAAAAGGCCACCAAGTAAACACTTCATATCCCTCATACACATGTATACAATCCGGTGACTGAGTATTCTTTTAGTTAATTTTAGTAAGAGCTTTATGAGAAATTTAATCACAAATAGGTTATAAGTGCCGAAGATTGGAAGTGTCACTGGAGAGTGTCACACAAAGAGAAGGAGGAGGAAAGAGATGTATTGGGAAGTACAGAGTAAATCATACCACTTAGTATGTCAATGTACATTCTTTAAAACTTTTTTTGAAAGCAGTTTTTGCACCCCCCCCCCAACCCCACCCATTGAGAAATTAGGTGACATGGACTTGATTGATCAGTTAGTTGGCACTCACCGTAAAATCCTGGCCCTATTTGCCTCTGAGACCAGCAGCGCTTGACCATCAGTGGTCAGTTCAAGGCCAGAAGGATAGGCCAGACCTACCAGAATTTCCTTGACCTGACGATTGCCCGGGTCAAATCCTATGAGTCTGTGGACATTGGACAGTGGGGTGATGAAGGTGTGTGTGTGAGTGTGTGTGTGAGTGCGTGTGTGTGTGTGTGTGTGTGTGTGTGTGTGTGTGTGTGTGT